CATCTCCCATAGTCTAGACACTATAACTTTCAGTGTTGCCTAAGAACAAATAAATTAGTACTTTTTTTGGCTTTGACTGTCAAGTTGTTGATTCATAATGAGCTTGAAATTCACTAAAATTTGCAGACCTATTTAATATAAACTGCCGTACTTCTCTCTGATTTTTTTGAGAGGACTACAAATGTAGGGCTTTACATTTACGTCTGTTGAATTTTATCGTACTAATTTTGACCCATTCTTTTTGGCAGAATTTTTTTTGGATCCTGATTCTCATCCAGTATTTTAGCTATCCTTTTCAGCTTTGGGTTGCCTGCAAATTTTATGAGCATTCCATCTTTGCTTTCATTCAGATTATTGTTTTTAAAAAAAAAAGTGAAACAGTACTAGGCCAAGGACAGATCCCTGGGGCATGCCACTAAAGAGATTTCCCTCCAAGTTGTCACTGTCCTGCTATGACTGCTCTTTAAGTCTGCTTTTCTCTAGGCTATATCTTCTCTAGCTTCCTACAAGGGTAGCATGAGATAGTGTTTTGTCGAAATCAAGGTATAGCATTTCCTTGATTGCACTTTAGTTTAGTTTGGCATGTGTAGTCTTTACTCCCTATCCTAGATGTCCCCTAACCCTTCCTTTTATATGATGTTCTAGAATTTTGCCATGAATGAGATCAAACTTTTATTTAATTGAGATAACATGTGCTCTTTTCTAGTCCTGAGGCATTGCCCCCATTCTCTCAATTTTTTGGAGATCACTAACCATAACCCAGCAATCATACCTTACAGTTTTCTCAATACCATGGTTATAGTTCATCTGGATTTGGCGCCTTGAACTTTTTGAAGGCAGTTAAGCCCTTTTTTTAACTTTCTCAACTCCTATGTAATGAAAGTTCTATTTCCCTCATTTTATAGGTAATTAACCTTAAGCTTAGTGACATTAGTGATTTGCCCCAGGTTCATCTGGAGAGTATATATTAAAACCAAGACTATAATCCAGGTCTTTTAATTCTGAGTCTTTTATGCAGCCTTACACAACCTTTAAAGAAGGGTGGCAGATATGAATAATACTCCTCTGCCACCCTTCTTTAAATGGCTCCTAAATTCAGAAGGAAAAACAGATACAATGTACCCTTAACATTTTAATATTTGGAGGAACTTGGGTGTAGGGATGTAGCCCAGGGAGTGTGGCCATGATGGAGCAAGCTTTTTTTTATTGGTGACTTCGTATCATCAAAACAGTCTCTCTGCTGAAGGTGTTCCAAGAGTAGATGACAGTGCAGCTGATATCCTAACACCCATTTTAACAGTCTTTATTGGGTTATTTGCTGCAGTCATGAGACAGGAGGGAACATTTAATACTTGGATTTTTGCTGTCTTCTCCTGTTTCCATTCTTGCTGCTTGCTGGAGGTTGGAACAGCAAGACAAAGAAGCCATTCTCTGAAACCTACTGCCAGGCAGGATTTTTTTTGTTTTGTTTTCTTTAGGGGAGAATCTATGTGGAATATAGTACTTGCCTAATCATGGTTTTTCCTTTTTCTATTTTTTTTTTGTGCTTTTAAAAATTAATAAACTTTTATTTTCTCTCTCATTTTATATTCCCCTCCTTTCCATTGAAATACAAGAAAAACAACACCTTTGTAACAAATATACATAGTCAAACCAAATTCTCACATAAGCCATTTCCAAAAATATATGTCTCACTTTGCATCGAGTCCAACTCTGTGTCAGAATGCAGGTTGCATGCATGATCATCATCGTTGTAATGGTTGGGCATTGCATTAATCATAGTTCTTAACTGCTTCAGAATTGTTTGTCCTTAAAATGTTGTAATCATATAAACCATTCTCCTGGCTCTCTTCAGTTTTCCTCAGTATCATTTCATACAAGTCTTCCCAGGTTTCTCTGAAATTTTTTCATCATTTTTTATAACCCAGTAGTATTCCATTACATTCATACAGCATAATTTTTTCAGCCATTTCCTGATTGATAGGCCCCCCCCTCCCCCTTTACCCCTTAGGGTAAAACCCTAGTAATAATATTACTGGGTCAAAGGGCACTAGCACTTCTCATGGTTTTTTCATTGAAGCCAAGTTTGCTAGCCAGTGAAATTGCTTTCCTTTATTCATATTCTGTTTTAAAGTTATGGTGACTATGGGAAAAGAAACCCAGTAGGAAATAGGTGACTCTAGGAAAATGTTTATTCAGAAAGGTTGTTACATGTGTTATTTTCATGCGCACTGAATTAAATTTTAATTTTATAAAAGAGAAGAGGATAATAAAACATGATTCCATTTCCTATACTCTGAACTACATGAAGGTAGAAACCATGCATATCTTTTCTTTTTTTAAAATTTGATTTAATTTTTTTCGATGAACAAAAACTATTTTCTCTCCCCCTCCATCCTCATTGAAAAAAGAACAAGAATGACGTTTGTAACAAACATGCATAGTCAATTAGAACAAATTCCACATTGGTCATGCCTCCAAAACATATCTTTTTAAATTGTATACCTCTCTCTGCCTGTATCACGCTTGATACACAATAGTTGCTCAGTTAATGTCTCATTAAATGAATGAGGGAATAAAATCTTCCTTAGTAGAGGAGTGAATGAATATCCTATAAGAGCAAAAACACTTTTACTTTGTTGGCCAGTCAAAGCTAAGTTTTTGCTGCATTGAGGTCTCTTGTATATAGCAATGCCATATATATTCTAATTCATGATAATATATCTGTGATCTCCTTGATGTGGTTATTGTAGCCTCATTGCTCATCCTGTGTGACTCTTATTTTTGCCTTCCCATAATATGACCACAAAGGATCCACCCAGTGTGTTGGAGGCCCTCTGATTTGAGTATACCATCAGAGTATGCAGGCTATCTATTGGTTATGCCTAGATCTCATTAAGCACAAAAAAAATGGAGCGAAGGCTGTTTTTGATTGATTGGTATATACTTTCAGGAAATGAAAGTCTTTTGAATGGCTTGTAGAAGAAAACCAGAAAAATAGTGATTGTAAACCTATTCCCCCCCAAAAAAGAAGTTAAACTGTAACACTTGGATCAGTGACTGCCAGATAGAGTGCAAAGTTCTTGTTATAATGGAAGAAAAGATTGAATTAAGAGAAAGTAAAATGCAAAAGAAAAAAAAGTCATTACTTTTTATGTTATGATAACCAGAACTTTAAAATATGTTTTTGAGTCAGAGAAAACACATATACCATTAGCAATGAAGAGAAAACATGAACTATGAAATCCTTGATAATGAAGTGGCACTGGGCCATCTTATGATTGCTTTTTTTTTTTTCATGATTCCTTTTTTTATAATCAGCCTTCTTGTTCACTGGGATAAATGAAGGTCTCATGAAACTAGTTTTCTGGGTTTCTTTATAGAAATTGTCTGTATAATTCTAAAACCTGCTTTGAGTGAAACTGGCATCATTCAGCTTTAATCTAAGTACCACTTCCAGTGAATTGAGATTTATAGTTTCTGGGCAGTGCCAAAACAGCATTAGGAAATATTTACAGAACTTCTTGTTTCTGTATTGAATTGTTAAATTTAACCACTCTGTGTCCTGGAGTTTGTAGCCTTGGGTTTTATTCTGGAGACGATCTGTGAATTCTTTCAATGGAAATTTCATTTTCCATGTTCAGAAGTTCTGGGAAGTTCTTTTCTATTACTCTCTTCATTATGGTGTCCATTTATTATGTTATATTCTTCCAGGAGACCTATGATCTTTAGGTTGTCACTGTACATCCTGTCTTTGAGTTCTGTATGTTTTGCTTACATAGTGACATTTTCTTTAAATGGTTTTTTTTGTTTTTGTTTTTTTTTTTGCTTCTCTTCTTCTAGGTTGTTCTTCACTTCTGGTATATGCATTCCCAATCTTTCTCCCCCTCTATTAATTTGGTGTTGCTTGCTTTTGTAGATTCAAGTTTTTTTTCTGTTGATTACTCTCATAATTCTCATTTAAACTGCTCAGAAAAAGCATTTTGTGGTTCCGTGTTCTCAAATTCCTCAGTCTCATCAAATGTTGAATCATTTTCCTTTATTTTGAAGTGTTTATTCATAGATGCCCGAACTTGTTTATGAGATCTGGAGAGCACATTTCTTTCTGTTACTATTTTTCCTGTTGATTTATCTGTTAATGTTCAAGGTCTTTGAGTTATCTTCTTCCTAGGATCTTTGGTACTTTTAGTCTTCCTCGTCTATTTTCCTTATCACTCGCTTCCCAACTCCCTCCCCTCTGATTGTGGCTTCCTGCCAGACTGGATCTCAAAACATCTTAGCCTCCTTCCATACTAGGCAATTTATGTTTCATCAGCCTAGGTCTTTGCCCCAGCTGACTTTGAAATGGTCAGAAGTGACCCTAGCTGGATGCTGTGCTCTTCCCTCAGGCTTGGGAGCGGTCCCTACCATAGATTCCTCCCCTGGTGACCTTCTGTTCACTCCTTCTGTTCCTCAGTTCTCTGACCCAATGCAGCAGTTCAGAGTTTTGTAGTGCTGGTGCTTCTGGATTGCAACCCCCAAAATGCTTTTGTTTTGAGGCTATGGCTAAACTGATGGTGGGACCCAGACTTCTGTAATGTCTCCACAGTACAGGAAAGAGGGAGGGGAGACTGGGATAGCTTTTGATATGAGTCTGTGTCCTGTTTTTGCGTCTGCTAGTGCAGCTTCACTGCTGGAAGCATTTGGGAGGTAGGGGAACAATGCAAAGTGAGCCCAGGGTCAGTGAGTGTTAGTTCCTGGGGGATGTTGTTTGTTTTTCTTCCTTTTTCTTTTCTTTCTTTCTTTTTTTTTTTTAAGCCTTCTTTTGGATTCTGGGTGTCCTGGACCATGGAAACAGCTGAACTTAATTTATCTTTGGCACATAATTTATGTTTTGGAGGTTGTAGAGATCAGAGAAAATGTCTAGTCTGCCATCTTGTTGCTCATGTGCCTCAGAACCAGAAAATGCTTTTAAAAGATTAATTGAATAACAAAAGAAAATGAATGTTTTATTCCATTAGCCTGAAGACCTGGTTTGCTTCCAAGACATCAGACCTGGGGCTCCACACCATTATCTCGTGGTGCCAAAGAAGCACATTGGAAACTGCAAAACCCTAAAGAAAGAAGATGTACCATTAGGTAAGACTTTAATAATATCATTTATGGTGATATCATCTTGGATTGGAAATTTTAGAAAAGCAATATTAGTTTTATTTGAAAATGTCATGGTATGGCTTGGCTCTATGTGATATACGATCACAAACTGGCTTAAATGAGATAATGTTTGTAAAGCACTTAGCACAGTGCTTGGCAGATTGGAGATGCTTTATAAATGCTTATTTCCTTCGTTCTATGCTGAACCTAGTTTGCTACATTTACCTTTTGAGCTCATAGTATAAATTCATGGTAACTAAAACACTGGAACCTTGGAATTTGGGACCTAGTGATCAACTTTTGCTATGGGTGAAAGGTTTAAGTCTATGTTTATGATAGATTAAGCTTTCTTCTCCCAGTTCTGCTGCCTTTTTACACCATAACCTTTTATACCTTTAAGTTACTTGGGCTCAAAGTTTGCCGTGATTATTCTTATCAGAGCCTGGGATCAGTTGGCTAACTATTTTAAGATACCTTGCATGAGAGACAAATTGGGTTAGATTCCAGAAGGTACCTGCATAATGTCTTGGAGCTATTCTGATCTTCAGAATATCATAGAATCATAGACATATGAGTTAAAAGGATCCTCAGAGGTCACTTACTCTAGCCCCCTTATTTGATAGATAAAGACTGAGGCTCAAGGAAGTTTTAGTGACTTGCCCCAGGTCTTGTGTGTCAAACCCAGGGCCCCTGTCTTTAGACCAGGTGCTTTGTACTATCATGATGCCTCCCTTAAAAATGTGCCTAATCTGTAACTAGTATCTTGCTTCCCTGCCAAGCTCTGGGCCTCTTTGAATTTAACGGGACCAGATTTAATATTTTTTGTTGTTCTTGAGGCGTTTCAGTTGTGACTGACTCTGTGATATTTGGGGTTTTCTTGGCAAAGACACTGGAGTGGTGTGCCATTTTCTTCTCCAGTATTTAATGCTAGTGTTTCTTTATTTTTATCGAAAGGTTCCAGGTTCATGTTTGTGGTCATCGCTGAGTTAGAGATCAGTTTATTCTAAAACTTCATTTGTCTACAGAGTGGCAGCAGGTTGATAGTGAATAGAGATAACTTTATGTAATCTGTTTCAACAACTATTATAACTTGACATTGTTTTGTTATGTTCTGCAAACATGGAAAGATAATCTGATTGTTTAGTCTAAATACATTTTCATGATAGGTCAGTTTTCACAATAAATTCTGTTCGTATGCATTGTTTGGGAAATATGGCTTTCTACTTAATTTAATATATTTAATAATCAGGGTGACTGATTGCTGATCCCAACATTGCCAATAGGTAGTAACCATTTTCGAGGAATTAGATTTCAATAAACACTTCACTACATTAAATAAAATGTAATCTTTGATCCAAAAGGTAGTTTAGGATCTTTCAGTGCATCAGACATTTGTATGTTGCTCCAGGTAAAGAGTTCTTAAACTATTTTGTGTCATGGACACCTTTTCAGAATAAAGTTTTTAAATACAGAATAAATGATAATAGCCAGCATTTATATAGCACTTTAAAGTTTGCAAAGTGCTTTACTTGTGTTATCTCATTTGATTTTCATAACAACTCTGAGCTTAGTACTATTATTGTTTACATTTTACAGATGAAGAAGCTGAGGCTGAGAGAGGTTGCATGATTTAACAGGGTCACACAGCAGGATTGGCATTTAGGTTTTTTTGACTCTTAAACCCAAAACTCTAGCCAGTTTGCCATCCAGCTGCCTTAAAAAGACATAGGATTGCAAAGGAAACCAATTATAATGGAATCTAGTTATCAAGATATCAAAATAAAAATAAATTCATAGATCCCAGGTTAGAAAGCCCTGTAGATTTTCAAAGTATAGGAGATAGGGCTGAATTTAAACTGACCCTAAAGCATATCCTGAAATTTAGTTTTTTGATCAGTCCCTAAAAGCAGAATGCTTGCCTTTCGTTTTGAATCTCTCATCAAAGAACTGAATATGCTTCTCCTTCACCTTTCTTCCCCCAAAATCCTAGTTATTACAACGGTTTTTTTTTTTCGTTCAGAAGAATGAAAATTTAGTGTAATTGTATTTTTAATTTTTATGATTATTTCATATCACCATACTAGGATGTAAGAAATATTCTGGTGAAGCCTAGATTGTCTGTTATGTTTTCACCTAAAAGAAATTCTGTGTTATGATGTTGTGAAAACCAGATAAGCAGTATTTTACTTGTGAAGATGCCTTAATTTTCACCTGACGTGCTTGCTTCCTAAGTAGTCACCCAAACCCTTTAATGGTATATTGTTGCCATTAATTATTATCCTGCTAGTTTAGACATTGGAGACGAATTTTATGTGGGGTCTGGGCTTCCTTTAGTGATGAAAAGGGAAGTCCGTAGTGGCCCTGGCTAATACATTTTTTTTCCTTTGTACTTTATTTTTGGTCTGGACCCTCGGTGAGTGTTTCTCTGAGTAAAGTTATTTTCCTTTCTGGTAAGATGGGGATCCCAAACAATGGAATTTTTTTTTGTGTGGGGGGAGAAGTTACTTGTGCTCTAAAAAGTGGCTGAGGTCATCTCTCCATTTTCTCTAGGTTTCTTCATTAGTTTTTTTTTTTGAAAACTTACGATACAGAGTTAGAAGAATTATTAGTATGTGTTTTAGTATGCTTGACATATTAGTGTTTGCTAAAGGTAGTTTCTTTTTCTTTTTTTACAGTGGAGAAAATGGTTACTGTTGGAAAAACCATTCTTCAGCAGAAGAATGTCACTGACCTGAGTGATGTGAGGTATGAGTATACCCAGCTATGACCATATTGGGAATTATTAATTTTATAAAAGATTATTACTCATCAGGTAACGAAAGCAAAGCTGACAGTCTGTTGTACCTCAAATGGAAAATCTATTTATCTTTTGAAAGCTGAAGTTGATAGTAAGAATTCATTGCTAACGTGCATACTTTGTACTGCATGTTGTATTCTCACTAATTTCTTTACTATAATTGAATTGGAGTTGATCACATGACTGCTAAAGGAATGAATGTAAGAATTTACGCAAAATTCTGCCGTAGTGCTTTTTTAACAATGTTTTCACTAACCCCCATAGGTTGTTTCAATATCAAAAACTTCTGACTTTGCAAGATATCAACAGAAAGACCCAAATGAGATATTTTGGAAGCCCTATTCAATTGAACAAACATTTATTAATTGCCTACAGTGTGAGCGGCAGTTTGCTGCTAAGGCAAGGGGGTGGAGGGTGAGCAAAAGATACAAATATCAGTGAAACATATTCTTTGCCCTTAAAGAGTTCTTAATGTTAGAGAGTTTGCACACTCTCTCTTTATCTCTCTCTCACACGTGCGCACACACACACACATACACACACACACAGGGAAGGTGCAGTGTTATGTGGCATCTGGTTCTGGGATTCAGAGTTGTACCTTTAATCATAGGATCATGGATTTAGAGCTCAAAGGGCATCTAAGCCAGCCCTTATATTTTTATTTTAAAAACATCATTCTGAACTTAATAATAAAATGAACATTTTCCTGTACAGGTTATCAATAGGAAAAGAAGACAACACATGAAACAGTGACTCTTATTGTATACTTGCTTTTCCTTTTAGACATATAGTAAATTTAACAAGTAACTTTCAAAACTGTCCTGTATGACTGTGAAGGAAATTTCTGGACTTCCTTCTGTTCTTTTATATGCATTTAAAAAACACTTCAATGACCCTTTTAGCCTTCTATTTTCCTCTTTTTTTAGGGGTGGGTGGTAATCCCATTAATAGCTTTTTATCTCCCTTCTACTTCCCTTCTCCTTTTATCTTCCCCCTCACCAAATGGAAAAAGAAGAATAAAAAGTCCTTGTAATAAATGGGCATTATAGAACAAAACACTGGCCATATACTCAAATCCTTGTCTCATTCTGTACCTTAAATCCATCACCTCTTTCTGAGTAGGTGAATAGTATGCTTTATCATCAGTTCTTTCAAATCATGGCTAGCCATTACATTGTTCAGAGCCCTTAAGTCTTTCAAAATTGTTTTTCTTTACAGTGTTGTTGTTTTATAACTTGTTCTTGTGACTTCGTTCTGCATCAGTTCATATAAGTCTTCCCAGGTTTCCCTGAAACAGTCCCTTTCTTACAGGACGATAATATTCTATTACATTCACATACCATGATTTGTTGATTTTCCCAATTAATGAGCACCTCTTCAGTTTCCAGTGTTCTTTGCTATAACAAAAAGAGCTGCTGTAAATATTTTTTATACATATGAGTCCTCTTTTTTTGGTCTCTAACACCTTCCCACCCTGCCCCACTCCCACTCTTTACAATTGAGAAAACTAAGCTTGAGAGGTGTTAAGATTAATCTAGATAAAAAAATGGGAAATACCTGTGCTCCAAAAACATTAAAGCACTATAGAAATGTGAGATTAGATTAACAATTATTACTGTTCTTTGGCAAGTTCTACCTTGTAGTGAATTTCTTCCAGTAATTGCCACCCCAGATTTTCTCTCCATAGCCTCCACTCTTCCCCTCCTAAAGGAGAATTGCTTGTTTATTAAATAAAACTTTTTTATTCATTTCTAACATCATTGCTGTTTCCAATATCTTGTCCCATAGGCCACTTCCCTTTAACCAAGAAAAACAGTTAAGCAAAACAGGCTGAGGTACAGATCATGTTTGATAGCATGTGCAACATTTTACACCTTTGTAACAATGGTATAATTTTCATCCTTAGAGAAACACAGTTAGCTATGGAGCTGGAAGGGACATTAGAGATGAAATTGCCAGCCTTCATAATTTTATAGTAGAGTAAACTCGGGCTTAAGGGAATGAAGGTTGATCTTTACGTTAATCTTCAGTCTGCTATCTTGTAGGGTTGTTTTCCTTTGCAGGGTCATCTAGGCAAGCCAGGGCTGTACTCGTACTATCTTTGTGTTTCTAGATAAATCAGTTAAACCTCTCAGTGCCCCAAGCACCTCCTTGAAAATATTAATTACTGGTCAGTTGTTGATCTGCATTGGTGGAAGGGGGTTTCCTCACTCGGAGTTACCTATTAAATTATAGGTCTGGACCAAAACATCCCCCCCACCCCATCGAGGTCATTATAAATACTGTTCTCTGAATCTGCTTTTTTTTGTTCTACATTATTTCATACATATATCAAATCTTACCTAATTCTTTTACATTTCTCATATTCATTATTTATTATGGTGCAATTATATTCCATTACTCTTATGTCTCAAAACTGATTCAACTTCACAGGTACCCTCTTTGTTTCTAATTTTTGCTACCACAAAAAGTGCTGCTATGAATTTTTTGGTCCATATGGGACCTTTTTGGGAAATACCCTTATTAGTGGAATTTCTTGGTCAAAGGGTAAGGAGAATTTGGTCACTCGTTTTGGATAATTCCAAATTGCCTTCTAGAACAGTTTGACCAATTTTAGATCCATCAGCAATGTGCTAGTGTGCCTGTTTTTCCCACAGCCTATCTAGTAGTGATTATTGATATATAAAGAAACCTTGTTATGATGTGCCTTGCTCACTTGTCAGCCCAGTAACTGCCATTTGTGGTTTGGGTTGTTAAGTGGTGGGCACTTTGTAAAAATTTGTTATTATGTTGTTGGATGGATGAAGGGTTGTTATGAATGTGTGTATTCCTTTATTCACTACGTATGTTCCTTTAAAGTTGTATACAAACAGAATTTATGTAAACAAAATATCTTAAACACATTGTAAACTCTTAGAGAGCAAAACAACCCCCTAAAACCAAATCCTTATTTTCAGAGTAAAATCAAATGTTTGCATAGATTTGATCTGTAATGTTTTCCTCAAAATGAAGTGTACCTGTATGTGTTTTTAATATCTGCTGAAATTGTTCTTGAGAAGACTTGGGCTGTATGGCTTGGGCTCAGCTTTTAACAAAGACAAGAGTGCCCTCTGCTGATTGAATGATAGATCAACTCTGGTTTTTATACTTCACTGTTTTCATGGCTCTGTTTTTTAGGTTTATTTTGGGAGTGATATTTCTTAAATTGTGCTGCAAGGAATCCTGAAACACCTCAAGCTTTTTTTCCCCCTCAATGAACTTTACCTTGTTTGTTAGTAGGCATTTAATATAACAATTTTAGAGAATTTTACTATGAGATTTCTGCCATTTTTTTTTTAAACCAAAGGATTCTAATCGCCACCATGGAAAAGCTTGAGAACCACTGCTTTGGAAGGAGTCTTATGTATAAAAGGAGCACAAATGGAATCTTTAAAGACTTGAAAGTCCTAAGCTACTATGAACTGCTTTCTGGGAGAATTAATTTTGAATATCAAATCCAACCTTAGGGCATCTCCCTAGGATAATGTTTTTCAAGTAGATGAAAGTTAAATTATGGTCCCAAATTAATTTGTTAGCTTCTAACTCTCTGCTCCTCTTTTTCAGAATGGGTTTCCACTGGCCTCCATTCTGCTCCATAGCCCATTTGCACCTTCATGTCCTGGCACCAGCCAATCAACTGGGCTTCTTATCCAGATTGGTTTATAGACTCAATTCATACTGGTTCATCACAGTAAGTATTGTTAACTTACCAATAGTCAAGCTATAAAGGATTGAACAGTCCCTTCTCTGCCTTCCAAATCCTATAACTTCCCCTCCTCTGAGTAGTTTTATTCTCAACTGACAGGTCAATCCATCACAATTGTGTTAGAGGGAACAAGGGAAGGGAGCTAAGAAAATTTCCCCAAGGGTAAAGGGGGCTTTTAATAGTAGGTTATGGGTTAGTTTTTGTGGAAGCTAGTTAGGGAGAGTCTGTGAGCATCAGTGGTCATATCTGACCCAGGGTCCTCTGCCTAAACTAGTAGAGCTTTCTTGAGGCTTGAGAAAAATAAGCCCTAGCTGTTTTAGTTATATGACTCTGGCCCTTTGGCTTCTCAAATAAATATAAGAGGTGACTGGAATCTTTAGGGTTAGCTGTGTAACAACTGACCAGGCTTAGCTTTTAGGCACCCCTGGTGAAGACTAATGGCTGTACCTGCTTAATTTATCGTTAAGTAGTATATGCTTGTTTAGTTCTAAAAAGTTAAATGGTGTCTGACATCTGGAAGCTCATATTTTATAAATGTCAGCTTTTATCATCTAAATTGTATTCTCCAAATGATTTTATTTAGTTTGTTTTTAAAAAGATATCTGTAGGGTTCTAAATCACATTCCCTCACAAAGTGAAGCCTTTTTATATTCTTTGGAGAAAATGAGTAGAAATAAATGGGCATTTGTTAATGTATAGTAGAGTGGTTCTAAGAGAGAATAAATAAAGGCAATAATGAATACTCCAGTATTCTACCAAGACCTACTGAAAGGTCCACCTTAGTTGAGGAAAAACTCTAAAAATGAAGTTTTAAAAGAAGTTTTAGTTTGCTTTTTAAAAGTTTGGACTTGCACCTTTAATTACATATTAACTTCTTTGTTAATTTGAAAGAAAAATAACTGACACCTATGAAGTGCTTTAAAATTTATAAAATGCTGTAATAGCTTAATAAGTAGCCAAAGACTGCACTAAGACTTTGGAACAACCTGTATTATCTCATTTGAGCCTCAAAATAATCCTGTGAGGTAGGCATTACAGGTATTGTTTTCCATATATTATAGATGAAGAAACTTAGGCTCACAAAGGTTATGTGATATGCCCATGTACCCATGGTCACACACCTCGTAAGAGTCAGAAGTAGGATTTGAACGTAAGGCTTCCTGATTCCGAAGTCCAGCATTCTATCCAATAAAAGCCTGTTTTGCCAATGTGAAACAATTTACATTACGTTTGGGGGCTTTGACCAAAATTTCTAGTAAGCAGAAGCCAATTCAGTTGTATAGGGTTTGCATCGGAATGAAGTAAAAAGCATTTATTAAATGCTTACTGTGTGCAAAGCAAACTTTCTGAGTACTGGGGGAAAAGCAAGCCAGTCCCTGTTCTTTTTGAACCCATAGAGAAAGACAGCACATTTACTTGTATATAATGGGCCTTCACTATGGATAATTTGGCGGAGCAAATGACATTTTTCTTTCTTGATGTTTGCAGGCTGATCAGCTGATTGAACGGCTGCAGGCTGGACGTGCTACCAGTTGAAGGGTTGTCTTGATCTTGGCTCACAGTGAATGAAAAACTTCGGTGCTTAGGGATCTCTTTGCCAGTGTATAGCTTGATGTGGTTAGTGACAGGCCATCTGAATCAGTATAGAATCTTCTGCTCTGAAAAGATATGAAAACCTGTGTTTGAATCTTAATGAGACATGTGATCATAGTTAACATAAGTACTTTCTTAATGACCTTGGGAACGTTTTAATGGAAACAGTATAGGTAAAATCACATTCGAACTGATAGAGAATGGTTCTATACATATAGATGTGTGTGTGTACACACATAATAAGTTATTTTCGTTTCTGAATGGATGACTTCTAACTAATAGTGATTTTTTAATGTGTTTCTAAAAAAGGTCACACTACCAAGAAGTTCTGCTCAAGTTATTTTTAAAAACCCACTTTTATTATTTATTAAGTATTTATAACAGTTACTTTCTGTAATAATTACCTGGTTATATGCTGTTGTATGACAGGATAGGAAAGGAGAGGAGACTTATACCAAGCATTTTTCCCAGATCTGTTTACTAATTCAGCAGTAACTGTTTCTCATCCCCTTTAATCTCATCCCACTTAAGTATTATCTTAATACTTTGACAAAATGTTGCTTGTGTGTGTGAGACACCACTTACCTTTCCACTGGATCAGAGTGCTTCCCACTTTTTAAAGTTCACCTTTCTCCAGGTAGTTCATCTTCAGCTTCCTAAGGCTGTGACCATGATTTCTAGTAATAGTACTCATTAATTTTTTTAAAACTAGATATTAGAGTTTGTTATAATGGATGAGATTTTGCCTGTAATGACATGGGTTAGGGAAGAAATTCTTATAATATAGAAACTGATGATATGAATGTATTGAAATTGGCAGGAACTGTTTTTAATGACACATTTTTTCTTCTGTCTGAAGGAAACTGAATCAAAAATGAATGCATTTATTCTTCCTATGCCACTTCTTCCAACTACCCTTATCATCCCCACAAAAAAAAAAAAACATGCTTAGGGTTTATAGAAATTGTAAAGTAAAACAGGGGATCTTGTTTGATGCCTATAAAATCAACGAGACACAACGTGGTATAATGGATGGAGGACTGGCCTTAGAAATAGCAAGACCCGCCCATTAATATATGCTAGCTGTGTGACCATGGGCAAGTCACTTAAACTCTCACGATCCCTTGAGAGTTCCCAGTGCAACTGTCTAAGATGAAATTTAGAGATGTGTTTGTGATTGTATTGGTAGAGAGTTTCCATTCAGCAGTTCCTTACACTGATGAAATCATCGATCTGGACAAAAATAAATAAAATTCCTATTCCTGATAGTTTATTCCATTGTGTACATTGCTGAAAATAAGGAAGTGCCATTGTCTTGGTGCTAGTCCATTTTAGTACATCTCTTTCTAGTTTATACTCAAAATGGTGGATAAGAGTGAATAGTAGTGTATTACTTCTAGAGGATTATAGTATTATATGATGAATACAAATGCATATGTAAGGATTAGGGCCTCTGTGTTGGAATGGAATGATATTTAGTCTTAGCTATTGATGTTTGCCTACTTGTTACTAAAAAAATAGTACTTTTAATTAATGGAATATTGATACCAAACAAATCTGGCATTTAATGAAGATAGCTTAGTGAAGGATTTCATTCATTTGAATCCTGTTTTCCATAATTATTATTATTAGTTCAAGAGTGAAATGAGCTTCGAGATTTAATTTTAGTTGCTGGATTTTGGAGACTTGGGAGTAGACTCATGGATTGTTCACCGATAGAGAATGTTTGAGTTTGAAGAAACCTCTGATTCACCCCCCTCTTTATATGGAAACCTAATCCCAGAACGGTTAATCGACCTGCCTAAGGTCACATAGTAAGATGTATAATGGCAGAAGAAGAACTAGAACCTGGGTCTTCTAAGTTCTCCATCCATTGCTGAGTTGGGATGCCTGGAGCTAAAAACAGCAAATGAGATTGAATACAAGGTATGTTTTGGCCTGGCTTTCTGGAGAGAGCTTGTAGTAAACCTGCCTTATCAGCGAAAGCAATGTCTGTGTATCTGTCATCATAAATCACTTGACAGGAAAGGGGCTTTGTTCTTCCATCTCACCTTTTTGGCACTTTGCCAGGTTCTTTAATTTAAACTGATTTAATGGACTCCAGTTGTCTTAGTTAGATATGCATATTTAACAGACAATGATAATGCTGTTAGCAGTTTTATAGATTTTTCCGAGTAGTGTGAGCTCTTCTAGGTAGTCTGTTGTTGTGTGTATCTAGGTACAATAAACTATCTGATAACAATTTTTCTTCTCCCTCTCCCAACTGGAAACCCCAAGGAAAATATGAAGACACTATTTTTATTGGAAGCCCATCATATTTGTTTCCTGAAGTTAATGTTTTTCAGTTTACTAAACTTTTCACTTGGCCTTTTCAGTAAAATAGATTGAAGGGGGCTCACTAGCTATCTTCAAGATTTGGTAAGCAAAATAATTACAGCAATAAATAATAATAATTTATAAGCTTTTGCAAAAACGTTATGGTAGTATTGAAGACATTACTTATGAATACTGTGGTACTTTGTGACCACTGAATTGTGAGATATGCTAGATTGTTAGTAATGAGCCACATAAAATAATGTGAAAGAGAAAAGTAAGTAAAAATTAAAGATACTTTGTGTCAAGTTATGCTTTTCTGGAATATTATTTTATTGTATAAAATACAGGCCCATATTTAGATCAGAGCTAGAAATGGGTCAGGTTTAGATGTTCACGGGATCTCAGACATGACTGAGAGTAAAACAAGACAATTAAATTCAACAAACATTCATTCACCATACAGATTATTTTCAGGAGAGGCTCTTCAGTTTGAATCTAGTGCATTAGTTAGTGGAGTTGGCCATGATGCTGCCATAATCTCTGCTACCACTGTTGCTAATGCCTCTACTCCTTTTGCTCAGCTGAGTGTTAAAATTTTTAGAATGAGATAACCAGGTCCAACAGGCCAAGGACTAGTCAACATGTTTCTAGCTGTTTTGTTTTCATCAGTCCTATAGTTGAGAACAGAGCCAGGAAAGAGAAAGGACAGGGTTCCCCAGTCCCCTGTGCCCAGAAATGATTTTTAATTATTAAATATCCCTTGGATCAGGTGACCACATGCACTATGATTCTAGACCCAACCAATATCCTGGATCAAAACAAGATGGCGAGGTGCTCTGCTCAACACAATTATGCAGGTCAAATGGAACTTCCAGCAACCTGGGTGAATATAACAAGTGGTCCTAAATCAAAGTGGCAGAGGAATCCACAATGAGGGATTATTGCTGTTCGTGTATAAGACCCCAGTATTCATCAGGGATAAGTTGCTTTCCTCATTTTTAGGGTCAAGTCAATAAGCATTTATTAAGATCTTATTATAAACCAAGCCCTGTACTAAGTTCTGGAGACACAAAGGCTGTCCCTGCTGTCAAGAAATTTACAGTCTCAGGGTAAATCCAAAGCCCTTTTCTGGTCATATTTCTCTCATAGTGTAGTTATTGGATCAAAGAAGACCAAGAACCTTTCCTCTTGATGGTAGCAGTATTTGCTAATTCCCCAATATTTTCTATCTCTGTGTTGCTAAACCCAGTTCAACCCTCTTGGGAATAAAGATTTATTGATATCTAAAACAAATGTCAAGCAAAACACGCAATTCAATACCAGTCATGTTAAGGGGAGGCCTGAAAGAATAATAATAATAATTCAATATTAGAGTAGGAAGGTTGAGGATCTAGATTACCTTTTTATGTTGTTCCTCTTATGGGTCCCAGTATAATGACTATACAAGTAACATAGTTTCCATGTGCAATGGCAACACTCTTTATCATTTTTTGGAGCTGCCTTAAGTTGTACTCAGAATAAATTTGCTACTATAGTGTGAAGATAAGAGTTCAATTTGCAGATTAAAATAAGATAAGTGAACTGTACTTATAATAATCTCACACCAACTTACCGTGCAAAAAAATTCATAGAACACCGAAAGTCAAATTTCTTTTACAAAATGTTATATGAAATGTAGGGTTCTTGCAGGACAGAATGAAAAAACCTACTTAGTTCATCTTCTAGGATGTCTTTACTTGAATTTTAGATAATCTCTGAAACCCTTGGAACAATCATCCTGAAGACTAGAGCCTAAATTGAAGATCCTCCAAATCCAGATTATCTGAGATCCTGGTGATTTATGGCATTTGATTAATACTCGTTGCTTTGTGCTATGTATGTCACATTTATGGTGGGATGCAGGCAAAATGGGTCTCTGAATTTAACAGGGTTCTATATTTACAGAGCAATAGAATGTGGACTTTTAAAAATGATATATCATGGAAATTACATTACTTATGAAGAACTAGATGGAAAATGGGTGCCCTTTGATTGGGGAATGGCAGAACAAATTGAATACATGAATGTAATATAATATTAATGTGCTGTAAAAAAAAATGACTTAAGAATTCAGAAAAACTGGGGAATATTTACGTAAACTGGTAAAGAAAAAAGTAGAACCAGTAGGGAACAATCGACTAAGCCGATAGGAAGATGACCACAGTAATGTAAAGAAAATGATGTGGAGGTAGAGCCAATGTGATGGAATAGCACAAAGTACATTGAGCTCTCTCTACTCCAAACTTCTCCAAACAGATCTAGAAAATTCACCAGGTTGGATACTGATGGGGAAATCCAAGAAATAGTCATTTTCCCAGCCCAGGTATTCATAGTGAGAAAGCAAGGTCTGTGGTTGGAGTCTGGCCATAAGTGAACTGAGTGGAACACTGCAGTACCCAGAGACAGCATGTGCATCAGAGCAGGAGGAAGTTTCAGATCCATACTGCAGCACAGAAAAGGAGACAGTGCTAACTGGCAGATTTGTTACCCACTACCCAATTCCAGGTTGGACTTTGCCCTGGATTAGGCCACTTTGGGAGCACTGAAAGCTTATAGTTTCCCAGTCTGAGCTGTCTCTGAGATCCTGGAATAACACAACACTCAGTACCCCCCCCCCCCAAAAAGCCACAAGACAACAAGCGCAGACCTTCTGTCCAGAAGTATGCAGAGCCTGGCCCTAACATCTCAAGTCTGAAGTCAGGCTGTAGACTGGAAGAACGAGTGAACACAAAAGGAATCCCACCATAAAAAATTATTAGGGTGACAAAGACACTCAAGACAAACCTCCCAACATATACAAACAAACACCCAAAGAAAAACACAGCTTGGGCATAAATTAAACTAGAATTTCTGGAAGAGATGAAGTAAGAATTTTAAAAAAAGTTAATGTTTTTTAAAATGAAATGAGAGTACTAGAAGAAAACACATAGAAAAGAAATGAAAGTTATGGAGGAAAGAATTGGAAAAGGAAGTAACAGTTTTGGCATAAGAAGTACAAAACCTTGCCTAAGCAACAAACTCCCTGAAAATTAGTATGGACCAAATAGAAACCAGTGATTCCATGAGACAAGAAGAAATATTAAAACAAAGTCAAAAGATGTAACAGAAGAAAATGGAAGATCCCTCATAGCAAAAACAGTTGCCTGGAAAAGTAGCTAGCTGCTTAAGAAGAAAAAAATTAAGACTCATTGGACTCCCTGAATGCCATGACTGAAAAAAACAGCTTAGGCATCATTTTGCAAACAATCTTAAAAGAAAATTGCTTAGATCTCTTGGAACCAGAGGGCAAGAGGAAATAGAAAGAATACACTGGTCACCTCCTGAAGGAAACTCACAAATGAAGACTCCCAGGAACATGACCAAAATCTGAAGCTTTTGAGGTCAGAGAACTACAAGCAGCTATAAAGAAAGAATTCAAGTATCTAGGAGCCATAGTCAGGATCACACATGATTTAGCAGCCACCATGTTACAGAAACAGAGAGCTTGGAATATTATATTCCAGGAGACAAAAGATACAGGCTTACAGCAAAGGATAACTTACCCAACAAAACAACATAATTGTACTTAGGTAAAAATGGACATCTAATAAAATAGATGTCTCCTGAGCATTCCTGATGAAAGACCAGAGCGATGGAGAAACTTTGAAGTTGAAACATTCAAAAGTTAGGAGAAACATAAAAAAGGAGACACTAAGGAACAGTCCTAAGGAACTAAACAAGAATAAATTACTTAATTTAAATATGGGGTAATGATACAGGTCTCCTGAACCCTAGTTGGGGGTCATAGAGAGAATCTAATTAGACAAGATGTGAGAGTGGATCTGTTATGTCTTGAGAAGAATAGAGTAGGGAAAGGCGAGTGAAGTTCTTCCAATCCAGACTAAGAGCTTGGTGATGTTAATGTTCATTAATGTTTATTGTTTTGTACTATGCATGTCACTTATGATGAGGTGCATGTGAAATGGATCTTAAAATTTAATAGGATTCCATATATGCAAAGCAATAAAACATTGATTTTTTTCTTACAGTGATATAGCATAAAGCTACATTAATTATAAAGAACTGGAAGGAAAATGGATGCACTGGGGTAATAAGGTGGATAGGAGAATGAGGTTTAGGGGAAATTATCTCACAATCAGGATGTGCAAGTATCTATACAAATAAGGATGAGAGGGTAAAGGAAAGTAGCTGACACACGAACCTACCTCCTACTGGAACTGGTCAAAATAGGGAAGAATACATACACAAATATATTTTACAAAACAGGAAAGAGAAGGGAAATAGGGGAAGTAGGGAGAGGGTAGGTTAAGGGAGGGATTAGTTTTATGCAAAACAAACAGGATTTACAAACATTTATAGCTCTTTTTGAGGTAAAAAAAATGGAATGGGTGGGGGGGGCATAAATTGAAGAATGGCTGAATTGTATGTAAATGTAATGGAATATTATTGTGGTGTAAGAAATGATAAAGGAGATGGTTTCAGAGAAAACTGGGAAGACTTGGATAAACTGATGCAGAGTGAAGTGAACAAAACAGGAGAATGTGACAGTATGTAAAGACAAATAGGTTTAATAGAATAAATTCTGATCAACATAATGACCAACCTCTGTTCCAGAAGACTAATGGTGAAACATGCTTACCCACCTTCTGATAGAGAGGAATGAGATTTTTTTTGGACATTCCCATGCAGAAATTTGTTTTACTTGACTATGCATATTTGTAACGGGGGTTTTGTTTTTCTTATGTTCTCAACTGGGAACAGAGTTGGGATGGGAGAGGGAAAAGGTTTTTTTGCTGATTGGAAAAATATATGTAATTTTAAAGAACAAAACAATATGGATGGACTTGAGTATCTGATAAGTGTAGGGATTGATCCTGATTTCAAAAGATCGGTGGTGAAGGATGCTTCTGGTGTCTCAGTAGAGAGGATTATAGGTATGGAATGAAATACGTATTTTCAGACATGGCCAATGTGTTCATTTGTTTTGTTTGCACTTATTTGATACAGGAGATGGTAGAATTGGGGGGGGGGGAAGGCATGTCATTGAGAAGTAACAGCAATATAAGGAAAGCAAGAGCATCAATAAAACATTAAAAAAAAATCACTGTGAATGAGAAGCAATTTCAAGAAGAATATTTCTTTCATGCATTTTTGAATGTGGATTGAGTGTGAATACATAGTTTGAAAAAGTACTAAACCAATAATAAATTTTTATAATAAAAAAGTGCTACTGATGTCTTTTGTTTTTACATCAGTTACATTTTCC